GCTTGCACTCAGCTGCCCAGTCCTGTGTCCTCAAGTCTCTCAGCCTGAGTGTGTCTGTGTCCTGACTTCCTCTCCTTCTAAGGACACCAGTCTAAGTGAATTAGGGCCACCCCCCTGACCTCATATTACCTTAATTCCCTCTTTAAAGACCTCTTTCCAAATACAGGCACAGTGCGGTCTTGGGGCTTAGGGCTTCAACATATGAATTTGGGGGGACACAATTCACCCCGTAATAGGTGTCTTGTGACGTGTCGGTTTCTTCTGCTGCTGAAGTGCCGTGGCTCGGCCTCCCCCCAACCCAGTAGGGAAAGGGTCCCCCAAGAGAGCACATGTAGAGCCCGGTGATAGAAGATGCTCTGTCCATAGAAGATGTCTCCAGGCATACGACACAGTCAGACCCACTGCTGGGCCTCGTAGTGGTCCCGGCAGCCAACTCCTCTCCCCTGATTAAAGGATGCTTTTGATAAGATGTGTGAATAGACCTACTCAGCGACATCACTTGGGGTGTGGGCCCTAGAAGTTAATCCTTCCTATTTTTAGCCCAGGGTATAAAATTGCACTGACCCTAAATGATGCCCAAGTTTAATGGTCCATTCATGCACTTCCTTAAGAATGTGCTCTCTACACCGACACAACATAGCTGCTAGAAGTCTAAAGTGAGAAAAAAGGTCATAATCTGGCCTTGGAAATAGCTATACTAAAACGTAAACTGCAGGACCATTTCTGGGTGGCCTGTGACATGAAGCCTCCAGCTGCCCTTTTCCCATTGAAAAAAAAAAAGGGGGGGGAACGCCAACGAGGCGAACACAGGAAGACACACAGCTGCTCTGCTCACATGACCCCTGTTCTGCTTTTTTTGTTTTGAGTTTTTGTTTTGAGATGTAACTGACATACAACAGCGTGTCAGTTTAGAGTGTAGTGTTGATTTGACACATTTATATATTGAAATATGGTTACCACCGTGTGAGCTAACACCCACATCAGGGTACATGATTATTATTTCCTTTTTGTGGTGAGAACATTTAAGATCTACTGTCTCAGCAACTTTGAAGTAAAGGATACAGAATTGCTAACTGTAGTCACCGCGCCGTACACGAGCTCCCCAGAACTCACTCATCTTCTAACTGGAAATTTGTACCCTGAGACCAACCTCTCCCCATTTCCCACCCACAGCCCCCGGTAACCACCATTCTACTCCCGAATGTTTCAACAAGTTTGGCTTTTTTAGATTCCGTATATGATTGATATCATGCAGTATTTATCTTTGACTTATCTCACTTAGCATAAGACCCTCAGGATTAATCCATGTTGTTGCAGGATTTCCTTCTTTCTCATGGCTGAATAATATTCCAGTGTGTCTGTTTGTATCTGTGTGTGTGTGTGTGTGTATAAACATCTTCTTTATCCACTGATTTGTTGACAATTAGGTTGTTTCCATATCTTGACTATTTAAGTAATGCTGCAGTAAACATGGGAGTTCAGATATCTATCTCTTCAATAGCCTATTTTCATTTCCTTTGGATATATACACAGACGTGGGCTTGCTGGATTGTATGGTTGTTCTAGTCTGAATTTTTTGAGGAACGTGTATAGTTTTTCCACAGTGGCTACACCAATTTACGTTCCCACCAGCAGTGTAGGAGGGTTTCCTTTTCTCCACATCCTCACCAACACTTGTTATTTCTTGTCTTCTTAATGATAGCTGGTCTAACTAGTGTGAGGTGATACCTCATTGTGGTTTTGACTTGCACTTCCCTGATAATTAGTGATGCTGAGCATCTTTTCATGTGTCTGTTGGCCATTTCTATGTCTTCTTCGGGAAGATGTCTATTCCGTTCCTTTGCCCATTTTTTAGTCAGATTGTTTGGGGTTTTTTTGTTATTGAGTTATATGAGTTCTCTATATATTTGAGTTACAGGATATTCTCTATATCAGATAGATAGTTTGCAAATACTTTTCCCATTTTATAGGTTGTGTTTTCATTTTGTTGATGGTTTCCTTTGCTGTGCAGAAGCTTTTTAGTCTGATGTAGTCCCACTTGTTGATTTTTTTCTTTTGTTGCTTGTGCTTTTGCTGTCATCCAAAATTTTGTTGCAAAGACCAGTGTCAAGGAGTTTTTTCCCTATGTTTGCTTCTAGGAGTTTTATGGTTTCAGGTCTTATGTTTAAGTCTTTAGTCCACTTCAAGTTAATTTTTGTGAGTGGTGTAAGGTAGGGGTCCAGTTTCATTTTTTTGCATGTGGTCGTCCAGTTTTCCCAACACCATTTATCGAAGGGACTGTCCTTTCCCCATTGAGTATCCTTGGTGCCCTTGTCAAATATTAGTTGACTGTATATGTGGGGATCTATTTCTGGACTCTCTATTCTGTTCCATTGGTCTATGTATCTGTTTTTATGCCAGTACCATACTGTTTTGATTACTGTAGCTGTGTAGTGTTGTTTGAAATCAGGAAGTTTGATGCGTCCAGCTTTGTTCTTTCTCAGGATTGCTTTGGCTATTTGGGGTCTTTTGTGGTTCCATACACATTTTAGGATTGTTTATACATTTCTATGAAGAATGCCATTGGAATATGATAGGGATTGCGCTGAATCTATAGATGGCTTTAGGTTGTATGGGTATTTTAAAAGTATTTTTAATTCTTTCAATCCATGAGTACAGGATGGCTTTCCTTTTGTATCTTCTTCAATTTCTTTCATCAAAGTCTTGTAGTTTCCATGGTATAGATCTTTCACTTCCTTGGTTAAATTTATTCCTAAGTATTTTATTGTTTTTGATGCTATTGTGAATTGGATTTCTTCTTTATTTCTTTTTCAGATATTTCATTGTTAGTGTATAGAAAGAAATGCAACTGCTCTCTGGGTGTTGATTTTATATTCTGCAATTTTACTGAATTCTTTGATTACTTCCAACAGATGTTTGATGGAGTCTTTAGGGTTATCTCTATGTAAGATGATGTCATCTGCAAATAAATTTTATTTCTTCCCTTCCAGCTTGGATACTTTTTGTTTCTTTATCTTGCCTGATTGCTCTGGCTAAGACTTCCAATACTGTATCAAACAGAAGAGGTGAGAGTGAGCACCCTTGTCTCGCTCCTGACCTTAGAAGAAGAGCTTTCAACCTCTTACCATTGAAAATGATGTTAGCTTTGTGTATATGTATGGTTTTTATTATGTTGAGGCCTGTTCTTTCTGTACCCTATTTGTTGAGGAGTCTTCCTCATGAAAGGACGTGGTATTTTGTCAGATGTTATTTCTACGCCCGTTGAGATGATCACATGATTTTGACCTTCCATTCTGTTAATGTGGTGTATCCCATCTATTGACGTACATATGTTGAACCACCACCCCTGCCTGAATCCCAGAGATAAGTCCCGCTTAACCGGCGTGTACTTTGTTGAGAATCTTTACTTTTTTGAGAATTTTTGCATCTATATTCATTTATATTGGTCTGTGGGTTTTTTTGTGTGTGTTTTTGGGGGTTTTGTTTCTTGTTTTTTGTTTTGTTTGTTTGTTTGTTTGTAGTGTCCTTATCTGGCTTTAGTATCAGGATAATATTGGCCTTATAAAATGAGTTTGGGAGTGTTCCCTCCTCTTGAGTTTTTTTGGAAAAGTTTGAGAAGATTTGATGTTAATTCCCCTTTAAGTGTTTGGTAGAATTCATCACTGAAACCATCTGTGTGGTCCTGGGCTTTTCTGTATTGGGGGTAATGAGCTGATTTACTGATTCAACCTCCTTACTCATTACTGGTCCATTCAGATTTTCTATTGATGATTCAATTTTGGTAAATCGTATGTTTCTAGAAATTTGAACATTTCTTCTAGATTATCCAGTTTGTTGGCACATCCTGTGTATTTCTGTGTTATCAGTTGTCATGTCCCCCTTTCATTTCTGATTTTGTTTACTTGTGTCTTCTTTTTTTCTTGGTTAGTCTAGCTAAAGGTTTGTCAATTCTGTGTATCTTTTCAAAAAACCAGCTCTTATTTTCGTGCTGTCCTGCTCTTTTAGGTGTGTTCTGGGAAACACTACCATCTTGGCCGAGTTCGCTGGCGAAGAAGAAGTGAACCGTTTCTTAGCCCAAGGCCAAGCACTGCCGCCCACCTCCAGCTGGCAGCCCAGCGCTGGGACCAGCCAGACACGGCTGGGCGCCTCGGGCAGCTCCCACGGCCTGGTTCGCAGCGACACTGGCCACTGGAACGCCCCGTGCCTGGCAGGCAAAGGGAGCAGCGACCTGCTGTGGGGTGGGGTCCCCCAGTACTCCAGCAGCCTGTGGGGCCCCCCCAGTAGCGACGATGGCAGGGTCATCGGAAGCCCAACCCCGCTGAACACTCTGCTTCCCGGCGACCTTCTCAGTGGGGAGTCCATCTAGCCCGGAGAGGCCGCGTGGGCACCGCAGTCATCAGCACTAGGAAGAAACGCTGACCCTTTCCAGTCCGGGCGTCGCTGAGGACCCCGCTTGACCCGAGCAGCCCGGCAGCCCTTTCGAGTACCTCTGTCCAGTACTGAAGACGAACCTTGGCCGCAGTCCTTGCGAACTGTTCCCAAGACAGTGCGGGCTGCGCTGGGTCAGTGTCATGTGTGATGACAGGATGCTTCTCACAGCTTTTTATTTTGTGTCGTCCTATGTTTGTATGGTGTGTTGTCATTTTGATTTTTTAAGTATAAAAGCTGCTTAGAATAGTTCTATCATGAAGGGCACTTTTCAGATTGTGGGCTGGAAAGGGTTATTTTATCAAGGGGGTGGGGAGGGAGGGAGGGAGACGAGAAAGCCTATTTAAAACGAGCCTGTGACGATTATGCACATTACCAGAGGCGGACCCCGTAATCAGGGGGAGCTGGCGTCCATCACTGGGACGCGGTCCTGGCGGCCCAGACCAGCGAGCCGAGCGGAAGGAGCGGTCTGCGATCTGTTCTCTGTTCCCACGGAGCCGCCTATGCACATTACCCTTGTTTCATTACTTTTTCATGTCATTTTTTTTAATCCCAAAAAATATTTTTTAAAAGTTAAAAAAAATAGACATATCAAACATGCAAATACTTGAATCCAGCAGGCCAATAATGAAATGTGAACACTTTCTAAGTCTAATTCTACACTTCCAGGTTGGCATCAGTACGCAGAAACAGGCTCTAGGAAAAATTTCTAAGTTCACAGCCTATGTGTGTGTGTGTTGAAACAGAAGCACGTGTGTGTGTGCGTGCGTGTGCGTGCGCACTTTCTGTGTGTGTTAAGTGTGTGAGGGATTTAACTGTGGGTTTTCCCTTTTATTCAGTATGTGCTTTTTTTTTTTGGCGCATTGGTCAAACGTTTGTTATTATTAGCTTCTAACTTTGCACTGAGTGTCCCTGCCCTTCCTTTAGCTAATCCTATACATTAAAGAGAATTCATAGGACAGGGCCGGTGACAATTCATGTGTAAATGTTTACTCAAGGACTCTGTTATTGCGTTTAAAAATTACAGTGTATATCTCTGGAGAAATAATATGTATACCTACCTTTAGCAGCTTTTTATTGTGGACTAATGCAAGAAAATTATTACCAGAGTATTGCACCATTTTTCCATTTGGAATATAAAGTTAAAGAGAAAACAACTCTCGTTGAACTGTGGCCATAGATACTTGTAGAGGGTGGATGGTTCCGCGGGAGGAACGGAAACAAGCACTTGGACGTGGGTTGTGACTCTGCTTTCGGAGGAGCCCGAGGTGAGGGCTCCCACCTGTTTACAGACCTTTTTTTCTCCTTCAGACTTTAAAATAAAAAAATTTTAAAAAGGAATTTAAAAAAAGAAAAGAAAAAAAAAAAAGACTTCCGTCGTAAAGAAACCTATTTTCAGAATGCAGATCCGCTACTTCAGAGCTCTGGGATTGAACAGTGTTGTTTTCCCCTCCGGCCACCGTCGTGGACTCTGTCGACTGTCCCCTTCGTCCAGGTGACGAGTTGTGGTCACTGTCTTGCACACGCGGATGCGCTCTCAGGAAAGCCAGGGTTCCCGAGGGGCAGCTCCACACCATTTCATGTATTTTGTAACCCAACTCCTAGCACTGAAGATGTTATTAAAAAACAAACAAAAAATAAAGAAAAAAAAGAAAAAAGAGGAAAAAAAAACACAAAGAAGAAAGATACCTAATCTCTAACGTGTAGCAGTTACGTATGTACCAAATAATGGACTCAAAGGAAATAGATGTTCGAAGAGTGCTTTATATATTAAAAATTGCTTTATGTTTTAAAAATGATCAATGTTTTGATTGTTTTGCAAGAAAGAAAGACAATGGAGTAACATACCCTTGAGTATGTTTAAAAAAATATATGAACATGTGCTCCCTGCCTGCTTGATCAGGAAACTTGTGCATTACATTTTTTTTAATTAGCTTTTTAATGGTTTTATCAAAACAAAACAAAAAAAAAAACAAAAAAAAAAAGAAAAGAAAAAACAGTTCCTGCAAAATTGCAGATCAACAAAAGCTGGTTTTATAGAGGATCATGAACTATGCACAAACTGGTTCAAGACTTTTTTCTCAAGTTCAGTAGTGTATTTAGCTAAACAGACCTTCCTCAGAGTAAGTGCATCTCATTGCCATTACATGCGTTCTGTATATTTGATGTACACGTCCCTGCGTTATGTACACCAAATATACGTGCGTGCGTGCCCGTGTGCACCCAGACATACAGCTTCCCATGCTGCATTTAGCATCGAGTTGTAGAAAACTGATATTTTTAAATTGAGGATGGAAGTAAAGATTCTCTCTGTTTTTGTTTTTTGTTGGGGTGGGTTTGGTTTTTTTCTTTGGACCTTTTATTTTGAATTAAAGATGTCTGTAACTCTGAGATTAAAAGACAAGTTTGTGGCTTTTAATGTTTTTCCTCATAGAATGTGATTGTTGAAGAAAATGCACCGAAAGTTGCTTTCAAAAGTACAACGCTTTGTTGAATCTTAATAAATTGCAATTTTTTTTCTTGGCTGTTCAAATAAATGTGTTTTTTATTTTTCAGAGGCGGATGTCATCCAAATTCACTTTGTATGTGTTGGGAGAGAGAGTTGTCCTACTGTGTGTAAGAAATTCCCTGTGTCGTCTTATGCCGTCCTCAGAGTTCACGTATATAATCAGATACCCTCCAAGTTGTGGTTGCTTGACTTGTGATCTTATCATTTATTTTGTGGTTTTGCAGTCCACACTGAAATCTTATTACTAGTCTTCGAGAGGTGCAGTAGAGCCTGGACCCACCCGCTCCGTGTGGGAACCGGTGTCATCTGGGGCAGCCGTGGGACGTGGCCCCAGCCGAGGACCATTGCTCGCTCTCACCCATGACCCAGTTTGGGCATAAGAAATATTCGGAGAGAAGAGAGTAGTGAAGGTCTTTTGGGGCTTCCATGGTGGCACGGTGGTTAAGAATCCTCCCGCCAGTGCAGGGGACACGGGTTCGAGCCCTGGTCCGGGAAGGTCCCACATGCCACGGAGCAACTAAGCCCGTGCGCCACAACTACTGAAGCCCGCGCACCTAGAGCCCGTACAAGAGAAGCCACAACAATGAGAAGCCCGCTCACTGCAACAAAGAGTAGCCCCCGCTCACTGCAACTAGAGAAAGCCTGCGTGCAGCAAAAAAGACCCAACGCAGACAAAAATAAATAAATATTTTTTTTAAAAAAAAAAGGTCTTTTGTTTTTCCTAGACATTCGTTTCGGTAAAGTAGCCTTAGCTAACTTTACAGAGCGTCTTGTACAAGCACAGTTGAAGTGACGGCACTGGGCAAAGCAGCAGCAGCCTTCTTCCCCACGGGGTTCAGGCAGCAGTCAGAACACTCGGGTCTGGCTCTCAGGTCCACCCCTGGGTCGCCTGCCATGACCTTAAGTAAGTTCAGCACCAGTGCTCCTGTCACATCAGGATTGTAAAGACAGCCTCTTGAAAACCAGCCAAAATGTCCTTTGTGACCCCCGCTCAGAGACCAGCAGAGTGAGTGTCTTTTTCTCTCCACTCTTAGGCGCCTCGGCCACGTTTTATTGAGAAGATAGGACCCGGGTTGGCCCCCGCAGGCGAGACGGCGAGCTCCCGGCTCTAACTGGCCTCTTTAGAAAGCGGAGGAGGAAAGCGCAGAAGAGCCACCATCCGGAGGAGAAGCAAAAGGCTAGAACGAAACTCATGGAACTCAGAATGTGGACAGTGGAATGTACTTGACACCCTACCCTTGTACGCACCTGGAGGCACCGACCCTGCCGGAGCTGTGAGCAGCCCTTCTGCAAGTGTTCGTTCAGTGCCCGTGAGTCCAGCATCGCTACAGGGAGGGAGCCGGCCCCGTGCCTGCTCCTAGGAGAACAAGCCCAGTGCCTCCAGGTTGAGGCAGGCCTCATGGAGGGGGTGGCACTTTCCTCCCAGGCCCGGGGAAAGTAGGGGACAGGTGGGGAACACAGGGTAAGCCAACTGACAGCCTCATGGCCTGGAGTGGAGGCGGCTCCTGGTACCCGCAGGTGAAAAGGAGGCTCGGTGTCTGGGATCAAGAGAAAAATCAAGGCTCAGAGCTGCACTTTTTAAAAAAATCATTGTGGCGATACCGTGGGAGAAGGCAAAGAAAGAAGGCAGGGTGCTCAGTGGGTAGAAGCTTGATGTGCGAAGAAGGGACTGTTGAATGGAGAGGAGAGGCCAGGAGGGAGCCGTCCTGGCCAGCACTGATTCTAACCGCATAAACGACAAGATCCGAGGAGCTGAGTTGCTGAGCACGTGTTCACTCAGGAAGGCATTTCGAGAAGATGCTTTGCAGGAATAGAACGTATGGGGTGGATCAAGGAGAAACCACGTAAGAGTCGTGGTGGAAACATGTAGTTAACTTACTAGCTATACACATCAGTTTTCACAGCTTAGCTTGTGTGGGACCGTCCCCTGAATGGCAGACCGTGTGGCAGGCCTGGCCCCGGAGCCTGGATCCCCAGTCATCCTGAAAACCAGAAGCACATTTCCAAGTGCTCCCTAAGTGCGCAGAAGCCTCAGGCTTAAGTGACATTTCACTGGTTCTCCACCCTGGCTGCGTGTTAGAATTATCCAGAAAGTTTTTAAAATCCCAGTGCCAGGGCACATCTCACACATTCAACCGGAATCTCTGATTGTGGCCCAGGCCCCAGAGTTTTTACATCTCCCCAGTTGGTTCCACTGAGCAGCCAGGGCAGAGGCAGTGTCAGAGGAAGCCTGTCAGGCTGAGACTGTCGGCCGCCTACCCATTGGAATAGCCATTTCCAAGAGTTCAGTGCGTCTCATTTGGCAGTCACAGCTAGCTCTTTGCTTTTTTTTTTTTTAGCAAAACTCCTATGTGCCAGGCAGGGTGCTAAGCACTGTGTAGGACTGTGTCTGTTGTTTCAACAGCCCCATGAGGTGAGGACTGAGACTGGGAGAGGTTACAGAATGTGCCCGAGGCCATGAGCTGATGAGGGTCAAATCCAGGCCCATCTGACTCCACGGCCATCGCTCGCTGGGTCAGCCCCACACAGGATCCACCACGGAATATTCCAGCTGGAGGACCTTGAGGCCACGTGTGTATCAGAAACAGCTCCGATGGGCGATAGGTGTGCCTGTAAAGAGACCTGGCTCCAGCGGTAGCAGGGCTGGCGAGCCTGGAGTTTGTACACGGCCAGGTAGGGTGGTGCCGCAGCCCTGGGCAGAATTTCTTCTCCGGAAAACCTCAGCCTTGCTCTTGAGGACTTTCGACTGATTGGATGAGGCCCACACATGTCACTGGGGATAAAACCCTTAAAGCCAGCTGACTGGGTGCCGAGCACCTACAAGATGCCTTCACAGCAACACCTCAGTTGGCGCTTGAGTCGATAGCCAGGGCCACCAAATGACCATCACACGTGGCTTCTGCAAGAAATACCCGCGGGCCTTTCGCCTATTTGTCGTCAGTAGCTCGTCCTGACTGACCTCATAGTTGTTGCAAGGCAGGCGAAGTGGGCCCAGTCATAGCTGGTGGCAGTGCCAGCTCAGACTGGATGTGGTCAGTTTATGTCCATCCATCCAAAAGTGCATCCTCTCCACACAGAGGCAGACATCTGCGGGGGTGCTGGCCCCTAGAGCCCAGGTGAGTGTCCTCACCCGACCTCACCCAGCGGCACTCATGCCCGGAGACACAGCCCAGGCCAGCTACTCGTAGAGGTCCTTAAGCACCTCCTGGCTGGGACCAGCCACAACGGGCCCAGGAATCCTGCCTGATCTGTCGGGCGCCCGAGAAAGTCAGGCGACAGTCTGCCCCTGGACGTCTGCCAAATGCAGGAGCACCCTGCATGGGACCGTCCTCAGAAGAGGGACCATTCGGGGTTAGCGTGGGCCCAGCTGGGAGCACTGCTAATGGCAGTGGCATCTTCACTGCGGGGCTGGCCTGGCCCCCCCAGGCCAGGTTTGCTCTCCCAGGTTCCCCGCTGGGATGAGGAACGTGGGCCCATCGCCGCTCTCCCATTCTTTCCCACGGCAGCCGCTGCCCCAGCTCCTGTGGACAGCGGGCACTGGGGCTGTGACAGCTCCGTCCCCTCCTCCCCGCACCCTCTGGTCCACGGCATCCCACAGGCTCCTCAAGCACAGCCTGGCAGGACCCGGGGTCACCCCCCACCAGTCACAGCAGCCAGATCCCCGCTCCTGCCACAGGCTGGGGCGCTGGCTGCTCTTTGGCCTGCAGGCTCCTCTCCCCACGGCTTACTAGCAAATGACCCACCCCGGTCCCGCCCTATATTTTCCCTCCACCCCCACCCCAGTAACCACTAGAACATCACTTCATCACCCTCCACGCACCCCCGTTCTTGTCCCGCAAGGCACAGGCTGGCAGGGCAGCGCCTGAAGCTGCAGCGCGGTCCATCCCTGCCATTGGGGGCGGGGCCAGAAGAGGGCGCCCTGCGCTCAACACTGAAGCCACACAGAGTCTGCTTCATGGGGAGCCCGGCACCAGGGGAGGCCCCTCGGGCATCTGGTAGGCCACAGGGCCCTGGCCTGACAAGGAGAGCAGCCTTGAAGAACCAGAGGGAGAAACTGAAGGGGCGGCACATGCACGAGGCCGAAGTTCCCGTGACTTCGGCCTGGAGGTCATCCACGGGCTGTACCTACAGCCCTGGGCACCTGGGCAGGCCTGAACATAAGCATGGACTCCCACAAGACAAGCCCATTTCGCAAAATGTGTTTAATCAGGATAAAAAGAGTCCTGGGCAGGGCCCACCGGGGGTGCTTCAGCCTCAGACGGGCTGCAGACTCCCGTCACCTTCCCCGTGTCCCAGCAGGGCCATCTCCAGGCAACATCTGTGCCTGCAGGTCCATGGGAACCGAGGGTGACAGGGTTCCCGGGCTGCCAGGCCCAACGCTGTCCTACTGGGCATCCCAGTCGTCTGTGAATACGGCCGGGGGCATCACGGCCTCCTCGGTTCTACCAACCCTGCCAGAAAGGGGAGTTGGCAAGGGGCCCCGTTGCCTTGGGCAGCGCGGGCCTCGCTTGGGAGGCTGAGAAGCCCCACGGTCATCCCTCTGGCCAGCCGAGGCCAGAGGATCCCCAGCAGCCTTCCTCAGGAGCTGTTTCCAGGCCTCCCAGGGCTGAAAGGCTCTGGAGAGAAGTGGAAGGAGCCGACGAGGCCGGGACTCACCACCGGTAGGCCTTGGCAAGGGAGGGAGTGGCGTGGGCAGGAGATCTTGTTAGATGGCTCGTTCTGGGGGCTCCTGCTGCCTGGGGTCGGGGCGGGGGAGCCCCAGGGGCCTCGACCTGCAGACCTCAGCTGGCCCACCTGGCCGGGCAGGGGTTGAGGAGGGGTGTGTGTGCATTCCCGTGGGTGGCCTGTCTGTCCAGGCAGCAGGACGATGTCTGAGTTCATCTCCCCTTCCCTGGGCTCAGCCGCAGGTAACAGTTGAAGGGTGAGATGTGCGGCCACAGGAGCAGCCCCAGCCCTGCGCCAGGGCAGCCGGGGCTGAGGCAGCAGCATTCGGTGGGGGGGGGGGGGGGGGGGGGGG